GATAATTTCATTAGCTAGATAATGGTCTTAGAAGAGGGTAGGTAGATAGTTCCGCTTATATGTTAATAAATTATCACACCAAAGCTTTATGTTAGATAGCATTTCCAAACAACTCTGAAAATCGCAAACTTCACGTATGAAGTAATATAAAAACACTTTGAATGTAACAACTCAACACGGGAGTAGCCGTCAACAGTGCTGACGATGGTATAGCACGCAACAACCAACCTACTGATTTCTCTCTGAGATGACTAAGTTGGTCATGACGAGAGAAGCAACACAATCATTGGGTAAAGAAGAATTGCATTATAACACACCATCGACTGGAAATGCTTTCGGCAACGTGGGGCTTTAGGCATTGATGAAACATCGCTAGAACTATTCCACAGCCACAAACAGTGTTTGAGCAAAGTCAAGCGCACACTGTTTGCCTGTAGATTTGAAGACATACTTACATCGTAAGGGTTAGGCAAAGAAATCTCCTTGGGAACCACTGTGACGACATTTTTGCTGTACCACTGTTTGGTGGAATTTAAGTAGTGGCAGCTTGCCAAGTCTGGTCAGAATAGCACCTCATGCTCCAAAAAAGTCAGTAGTCGCTTCCGTGGTAAATTTGCTGGTTCATGGTTCCAGAAGTAACGAAAGTTTCGCTTTTAAGTCCACAGCTGCAGATTGCTTGCCAGACAAGGAACTTTTTGGGGAATTTCGAATTATTTTTGATTTTACATTCTTCCGGAGCACTTTTCTGGTCAACCAAGGCATAAAATTCCTGCCCAGGGATTTGATCGAAACTGCCAGGAGCGGATAGACTGGGATTTTCGTTTCAAGCGTGCAGGATCGAATCGTGACGTGCTTCGGTGAAGCCATGATGTAAACAAATGAACTTATCCTGACAACCAATGCCTACTGTGATTCTATGCACTCTTAGCTTGATCAAGTGACATTTGAATTGTTTTTCTCAGACATGCCGTAATGGCAGCATTGTTAATGTGTCCGGATTTTTCCGAGATCAACCTTTACAACACTAGTGTCACCTAGCGTGAGAATTCTGGTCTAAATTGTAATCCATTCAATATACATTAGGCTCCTGAACCACCAAAAACTATGTTTCTAGCAAGGATCTCGAGATGTCGACCTTGCATGTTGCGTGCATAATAAAATTGTCCTGAAATCATTAAAACAATGAACTCAATTCCTCATTGATATTAAAACACGAAAATTTTCATGTAACTAAGATTCCCTTAATAAATTTCAAATAGTATAAGAAAATTTAATGTAAGTGACAAAGGCAATCCGCAACCCACCAATGCACAGTGGGGATTTTATGAACAAAAAGGCTGAGGCTGTTGTAATCACATATATGATATGGGGGCGACCCAAGCGTAGTGGTTAACATCCATACCTCTCACGCCAAAGTCACGAGTTCAAATCTCACCCCCGGACAAGTCACGAATGACCCAAGAGTGTTAAAGTGACTATAATAAAAAAAAAAAAAAAAAACATATATGATATACACTGGAGTCGCTTTTTACGCGGTTTTTTTTTACACGGTTTTTTTTACGCGGTTTTTTTTTACGCGGATTTCAGAATTTACGCGGTTTTTTTTTTACGCGAATTCCGGAATTTACGCGGTTTTTTTTACGCGGATTTTGTTTTTTTTTACGCGGATATCAGAATTTACGCGGTTTATCATTATACATTAGAGTCGCTTTTTACGCGGTTTTTTTTTACACGGTCTTTTTTTACGCGGTTTTTTTTTACGCGGATTTCGGAATTTACGCAGTTTTTTTACGCGGATTCCGGAATTCACGCGGTTTTTTTTACGCGGGACGTATCACCCGCGTAAAAAGCGACTCCAGTGTATATTATACATATGTTTCTTAATGGAAAAATTTCAAGAAATCGATCCCGCTTACGCACGCTACGATAACTACGTGATTTGGCGCTCATTTTTTTCCCCATGAACCCGTACATTAAAGATGTTTATTTAAACATGCTTAAAAATGTCAGTAAATTTAAGTAAAAGTTACAAATTATTTTTTACAGTCAATAACGATTTTTTGGCTAACAACGGCCCTTCCCGGAGAGTCGGAAACAATTTCGGAGAATGTTTGAATTACCTTATGAAAGAAGCTGAAAAACATCCAGAAAAAGAAGGCATAAACTCTTCAGGAAAAAAATATTGAGAAACTACTGGAGACAATTTAAAGAAACTTGCGGAAAAATCAGATGACACATCCACAGGAAGCCAGAAAGGTTTAGGAAATCGGAAGGAGTGGCCATTGCAGGGGCAGCTAGGAGAATATAATTCCAGTAAAAGTTTAAAGGAATATCATGGCGAAGACTGAAGAAACTTCGTGGAGACGTTGGCACTGGAAGAAACATCCTGTCGTAGTTTGGAAGCAACTTCTGAAGAAATTCTGAAGCTAGGAGAAGTTCGGAAGAAACATTCCGGGAGAAAGAGCTTTACGGGGGTCGTTGAAACAAGTATCCGGGGGAAATCGGTAGATTCTTCTAGTAAAAAATAGCACAATATTCGATAGAAGGAGGAAGAACCTTTCAAGCGATGCCAGAAGAAGCTTCTAAAGGATGTCGAAATAACTTTCCGCAAGGAATCGGAAAATAATGTATGGTGTAAGGTGGAAGAAAATTCCAGGAGAAAATTAGAAAAAAACTTCCAAGGGAAGTTTAAATAAAGTCCAGAATGTTAAAAAGTTAACATTTTGATGGAACTATTTGGTCACGTAAAAGATAAAAATATTTCTCGATTCTCAGGAATTACCAGTATAAGCTATAAGCTATTTTTCAATTCCTGGGTAGCCATTTTTAAAGATGACATTTTCAAAGATAACGGCGCCGGTGGTGTAGTGGTAAGCGTGATTACCTCTCACCCCAGCAGGCCTGGGTTCAATCCCAGTCGGCGCCGCCGGGATGTTCTGAGGCATAACATCTCTGATCACGCCTTCCTTCGGATGGGAAGTAAAGCCGTTGGTCCCCGGTTCATGAGTTGATGGGTCGATAGGTAGGGTCCAGGTGTGGGAGCTGCCTTCCTGGCGTCGGTAGCATTGGTGCTCAGCACGGAAAACAAGATCGACGAAAAACAAACCAAGGAAAAAAAAAAAAATTTTCAAAGATGAATAATCTGTGGCATCCAAATATATGCATTTGTATAGTACAGATGAAGCACTGTTCTAAGAAAAAAAAAATAATTAAAAACTGAAGATTTTTATCAATGGGGCCAATATTTAGACCCATAAAATGACATAAGAGCCATTTCCTCTATTCAAAAATAAATACATAACACAAATCTTCATGGCGTACATCACCAAGTACCCTGAAGTCACTCGTTCTGACTTTACTACTTGACTGGCTATTCCGTTTACTGAACTAAGCTACTTATATTCACAGACAAACAGACATAATACTCGCAAGTTGTTCATCGAACAAGCATTTAACGGACAATTTAAAAGTATCGTAGTTGGTAGTACCGCTACCTGTGGCGCGCATAGTCAATTCCCTCACGTTTGACGTTTACACAATACCGCCATCTGTTCAGTGTAGTGCCCACCACAGTGTACTCAACAGATGGCGATAATGTTTTAGCGATGATGTTTTACAGTGAGAAATATCCAATGAGTTATGTCTGTTTGTCTGTGTTATATTCTTAAACTCTACATAAAATTCATTACTCTACAAGATATCTAGAACAGTGTAGTATATGTATAAGGTCAACCAATCAGAGTGAAGCACATAGGTTGAACCATCTGCTAGATTTGCATAAATGTCTTGGACAAAGTCCTATCAGAAAGTCAGCAGAGAAGGAAAAGAATTGCTGTTTGGGCATGACCCACTTATAGTTTAATGCTCTGTGAAAATAAATGGGTCAAGCATGTTTTAGATATAACTCTCAAAAGTTTTCTCTCATTTTGATAGATGAACATAGGCATTCAATAATCATTTTGATTATTTAAAAAATCTGTATATCTCATAAATCGGTATTTTGCGGAACGTTATCTCTATATCGGTATCAGCTAAGCCCTATATGTCAAATATGTGTTAAGGTGGATTTTCAACTCCATTTAAAAAAAAAACTTAATATTCTGAAAGTTTTTCATACTTTTTTTTTTCCCTTGGTTTGTTTTTTCCGTCGATCTTGGTTTCCGTGCTGAGCACCAATGCTACCGACGTGCCAGGAAAACAGCTCCCACACCTGGACCCTACCTATCGACCCATCAACTCATGAACCGGGGACCAACGGCTTTACATCCCATCCGAAGGAAGGCGTGATCAGAGATGTTATGCCTCAGAACATCCCGGCGGCGCCGACTGGGATTGAACCCAGGCCTGCTGGGGTGATAGGTAATCACGCTTACCACTACACCAACTGCGCCGTTATTTTTTTTTTTTTTTATACTAGTTTGAAGATCAAAAATAAACCAGGCGCATGTTTAAGGGTTGGTTTTGAACTCATATCACATGTCTGAATAAATCTTCTAATTCGATTTTTTTTAGATTATGGTTCTTTGAAGTAGAATAGGCTCAATATAAGTGGTACCATAGTATGCAACGAATGAAATTATGCGAAAAAGATATTTTTAACCGATTTCCTACATCAAAAAATTGTGTGTAGTTGGATATAATTCTTATAATCCCTATAATACTTTGGGTCGCGACCCACCGATTGAGAAACACTGAACTACATCATTCTTCCGAAAATAGCACACCGATAAAAAAAAAGAGATATCCTAATTAGGGATCGAAAACATCATCAATCTGATGAACCAATAAACCTCCCAAGTGCTTCTGGTTGAAAGGTGATAATACCTCTAATGGGAATTTCCTCCACAAGGCACAACCTGAATGGCCACTCGGAACGATGTACAGCCACGTCGTCATCGTCTTGGAAACCGAAATTCGTGGGATTCTCAATATAAGGTGCTTTCGTTTATCATTGTTATCATGCCTTCCAGACAGCCACGGACACCGACTCATATACTTACCGGAGCTGCTGGGTGAGCACGTGTAGTTGCCAGAGTCGGACGCCATGGCCCGCGCTATAACCAGCTTGCTTGTTTTGGTTTGTCGCTCGGTTAGCACGCTGATTCCACCTCGCTGAGAGTAATTAACCACGCGACCACCCTTGTACCAGTAGATGAAAGAAGGTGGCGCCGGCGACTGCAGTGCCACACATGTGAGGTTGATGTCGCTTCCGCTTTTGATAAACAGCTCCGAGTTGCCGAGGATTTTCGCTTTGGAAACTGTAAGGAAACCGTAATAGGGAAAGAAGAGACAATCAGAAAATATCTATACGAGTCGGGTGTTTCCCGACCAATGCACTGCTGGGTGAGGGTAAATGAAAAATGACGATTCTTATCGGGTTTTATATGGCATATTTGCTCTTTGTGTGTATTTGAATGCCGCACCAAGGATGGCCGCCGAGTACAATGGAAAAATATATTACAAAGGTTTATGTTCCCAAAATACGTCATATGGGAGCGGTTTTCCGGGAAGCTTCTTCGATCAGAGTCGTTTGCATAAATTGTCTACCGATAATGTGATTCCTAGAAGAAAACTGTTTGTTAGATAGATAGAGGAATAATTTTTCGAAATCTAAATATTCAAAAAATTCCACTCTTGCATCACACCCTGTCTTACTGTTCGCAAAAAAGTGTAAAGTTACATTGCAATTGACAACCCAAAAACTTTCCCACGAACATGGGACCATGAGGTGTGAAGTGAAATTCGTAACTTCGGATAAACCGGTAGCACCTCCTCGCCCATCTCATCTTTCCCGTGGTGGTAAACTTTCCGGATAACAATGACTATCTACCCTTCTATTTTCATTTACATATCACATCGATAAACACAGAAAATCGATCAGACTTACCCTTTTCCAACCCGGGATGAAACTTTTCTGCCAATAAAACAACTTTTTATCTTCTCTCCCTATTGCTTACTCACTACATTCACCCATTTCACCCATACACTGAAATCAGTATGCATTCGAAGTGCATCCCTAAGCCGCCACCATCTCTCCGCAGAAATTGGAACTGATGGGAATGGATTTCTCTTGTTTCCGAAATAACCCATGTTTTGCACAAATCAATTCGCCTCTTCATCGACATTCTTCTATGGGGGGAGGAGAAGGTGGCACGATCCTGCAAAACAGAGCTTTACAATTGTTGCATTGTATAGCGCTGTACATGCGAATTGAGTGGGAGGATAAAAAAAAATGGAGCAACTTTAGGAATGGAGGAAAATTACATCCCCGCCTACTAATTTGCCCTTCGTGGTGCTCTCCTTCGAAATCTCCGTTTTCTTGGAACTGCCTTAGATGAGTGATGTTGACAGTAAAAGTGGCTTAAACATTATCCCTTTCCTACTCAGACGGCTTTTCGGTTTTTTTAGATGCAAAAATGTGTTTGGAACTTTCGGTTGCTCCGATTTTGGTTGAATTCATTTTTGAATTCATTCTTCTTTGCTTTATTTAACGTCGGTCCCTGTTCCGCAATCCAGTGCCAATCACCGGCGGACATCGATTGCCATCCATTGACGGCAATCGAATGTGCAGGAAGGCAGCTTCCACACCTGCGTAGGATATCGCACCCATTCAACACACATGGGCCGGGACCAACGGCTTTACTTCCCTTGCGAAGGAAGACGTGACCAGAGATTTGTATGCCTCAGAAAAATACCACCGACCTCGGCTGGGATTGAACCCAGACCCATTGGAGTGTTAGAAAGCAGTCACGCTTACCACTACACCACCGGCGCCGGCTATTTTCGAATTCATTGAAAGATTCGAGATTGTGCAACGTGTTTGAATACAATTTCGGCAATGTGACGGCGACATGCCAATGGCAGCAAGTTTCTTTTCAGTAGAACTGGAAGACGGGTTATAATACCATTTTTTTACGCCATAGTTAACACTAGTTTTATCAAAGCTGATTCCAACTATTCTTACCTGCAGACCCCACTCGTTGATTGTCTCCATTATCGCAGATGTTTCAGCATCCACCGATCCACAAGATAGGGAAGGTACCGAAAGATGATTAGACACCCCTGCTACAGCAACAAGAATGGGAAGCCAACCAACGCGCTTTCTGTTGGTGTCAGGCAGAATATTTCCATCCCAGTTTACTACCAAAGGTACATCAGTTTCAAATCTTTTCTTCAACTGATAAATTGAACAAAATGAAAATAACTTTAGCTATGCCAACAAATTTAGAAAAAAAAAATTAAAAAGAATTTAAAAATGAAAGAATTTATGAACTAAATAATTTAAAAATTTAAGAATTTTGAAGTCTAAGAATTTTAGAATTTTAGAATTTTTGAGTTTTAGAATTAAAGAAGTTTAGAATCTTAGAACAAATTAAATGCATTTACTGCGTTCACCAGCGCCACACGATGTTTCATTCGGGAACGGCGAATGGTCTGATAATTTAAAGCGTAATCAGTCTTCCAACACATCGACTTCGTGTGACTGCCTTTAATTATTTCTACCATAATCATACTCGCATTTCTATTAGACATTCCAATTCTTTCAAATGCTGCTGCAACATTTGGCGATGTAATGTTTAATTTTTTTTAACTGGGGTACCTGTAAGTACAGAAAAAAAGGAGAACCAACCCAGAATAACCGTATTTTCTATGATTTGTGTGACGATTTCAACTTGACTATCTTTGTGCTCTAACTCACTATCATTAGGTTGTCTGTGGAAGGTTATCAATGATCCCCATGATAGTGATCACTTACAAATTATTATTTAAATCTAAAATGGTCGTCTAAACACAGATCAGTCAATTCAAGTTCCTTTTGACCTCATGAGGAACTTTGATAGGCGAAAATTTGTATCGGCGGTAGCTCTTGGTATTGATTCTACCGATCCTCTACCACCATTGGACGAGTATAGTTTCTTTACCGAACTAATCTACAAAAGCGCATTTGAAGCTCAGAAACGACGTGTTCCAAGTGCATCCTTCAAAATAAGACCCGCCACCCCTGGATGGGATGACGAATGCACAAAGTTGTATCTTGAGAAATCCGATGCCTTTAAAGATTATCGTAGACATGACATCTGAGCTTTTTGAAAAGTATCTAAAGCTTGAACAAAAGCTAAGAAACTTACTAAAAGCAAAGAAACGAAATTACTGGCGTACTTTTATCGAAGGACTTTCTAGAGAAACTTCGATGACAACGCTTTGGAAAAAGGCTCGCTATATGCGAAACCGCTCATCTTCCAATGAGAGTGAAGAATACTCCTCCCGAAGTAACGGTTCTCTGGATGCACCATTCTCAATACTGGAATTTTCAATGGCACTTCTTTCATCGAATAGCTCTGCTCCGGGAAGCGATATGATCAAATTCGACCTTCTAAAAATCCTCCCCGATATCGCTGAAAGATGATTACTTAACCTATATTATTCATTTATGGAATTCAATATAGTTCCACCAGCATGGAGACAGGTTAAAGTAATAGCTATTCAAAAACCTGGGAAACCAGCGTCTGATCACAATTCTTACCGTCCGATCTCTATGTTATCATGCCTGAGGAAATTATTAGAAAAAAAAGATCTTATCAAGACTTGACCATTGGGTTAAATCAAACAACCTACTTTCAAATACGCAGTTTGGTTTCCGAAAGAGTAAAGGAACAAACGATTGTCTAGCGATGCTTTTATTTGATATTCAACTGGCCTTTGCGCACAAGGAGCAATTGGCTTCAGTCTATTTGGATATTAAGGGTGCATTTGATTCAGTTTCCATAGACATACTGTCAGGCAGTCTGCACAGTAGTGGATTACCCGGTATTTTAAATAATTTCTTGTATAATTTGCTGTCAGAAAAACAAATGACCTTCAATCTAGGTCAACTGACAACTTCCAGAATTAGCTACATGGGCTTACCCCAAGGTTCATGTTTAAGTCCCTTACTTTATAATTTCTATGTCAAAGATATTAATAACTGCTAAAATAATCGATGCACGCTTAGACAGCTTGCAGACGATGCCGTGGTTTCCCTGAGAGATCCACGTGCGGAAATCTTGCAAAGACTGTTGCAAAATTCCCTAAATAATCTGTCTTTCTGGGCAAGAAGATCGAGTTTTCACCGCAAAAAAACTGAATTGGTAATGTTTACAAGGAAGCGGTTTCCAGCCCAACTGCGTCTAAACCTTTTGGGCAGAGACATTACCCAATCTTTAACCTTCAAATACCTTGGAGTCTGGTTTGATTCAAAATGCATTCGGGGTACCCACACTAAGTATTTGAAACAAAAGTGTCAACAAATGATCAACTTTCTACGATCAATTTCCGGGACATGGTGGGGTGCTCACCCGGAAGACCTCATTAAACTGTATAAAACGACTATTCTTTCAGTTCTTGAGTATGGCTCTTTTTGCTTCGTCTCAGCAAGAAAAACCCACCTATTTAAATTAAAACGCATTCAATATCATTGTTTACATATTTTCCTTGGCTGTATGCATTCAAAACACAATATGAGCCTAGAGGTTTTAGCGGGAGTAAAACCCCTGCAGAACCGTTTCTGGGAGCTCTCATTCAGAATATTTATTAAATGTAGTGTCAGTAACAACCTTGTGATTTAAAACTTCGAAGAAATGCTCGAATTGAGCATCCAGTCTAGATTCGTGCGAATCTGTCTTAATTATATGTCATCGGATATAAGCCTTCCGTGCTATAACCCCCCTCGTGTATGCTTTACTAACTGCAGTTCCCGCATTGACTATGATCTCTCCATGAAACAGGCTATTCAAGGATCAACTTCAACCTATCTCAAATCCCCGTATTTTTGCTGAAAAGTACCAACAAGTCAATTGCAATAGAAGATGTTTCACTGATGGATCACGCATTGATGGATCCGCTGACTTCGGCGTCTTCAATGAATACTCAACCGCCTTTCGGAAACTTCAGGAACCTTGTTCCGTTTATGTTGCTGAGCTAGCAGCAATCAACTTCGCATTGGGGATGATTTCCGACATACCCATAGACCATTACTTCATGTTCTCGGATAGTCTCAGTTCGATTGAGACTGAGATTGTCTGATGTTAGAGATTGATGTGAACATCCCCTCCATTTCAAACAATTTCCAGCTATTGTGCCCCAGTCTTATTATCGTCCTGTTTCTGTGCTACTTGCCCCTGCCCAGCCAGGATTTGGTCAACCATCGGAGAGTATTATCTGAAGAAGGCTTTAGAAACCAGTTTCTACCTAGCTCCTTCTAATCAAAAATGTTACCCAT